GGACCCAAACTTAATTGGGTACCAAAATCTTCCTCCTCCTAATGCAGGAAGCCACTAAGTACCCAGGTGTCTGGTACTTAGACAGTGGCTGTTCAAGACACATGACGGGTGATGCGAGCCTTTTGAGCAATCTAATTCCCTATGATGGTCCAAGAGTTACTTTTGGAGGAAGCAATGATTTTGGCCTTACCAAAGGGCTAGGAAATCTGGTGTACAAGGGACTAACCATCCAAGCTGTTTCTTATGTAGAAGGTCTCAATTATAACCTTCTTAGCATAAGTCAGTTTTGTGATAAAGGTTATTCCTTGGAATTTTGCAAGGACATGGCATCTCTCAAGAACATCTCCACAAATGAAGTCATTCTCACTGGGAATAGAATCAGAAACATCTATGAAGTGATGTGGGATAATGTCAAGGAAGCATGTCTAATCAGCAAAGGTGACACTAACCTTCTATGGCTTTGGCATAAGAGGTTGAGTCATCTCAACTTCAAAACCCTCAACAAGCTGTCCAAAGAAGGGTTAGTAGAAGGTCTTCCCAAAGTCGCATTCAGAAAGGAAAGTATCTGTGATGCTTGCCAGAAAGGAAAGCAAGTCAAGTCCAACTTCAAGGCAAAATCGGCACCCTCAACTACAAGGATATTAAGTCTTATTCACATGGATTTATTTGGCCCTGTTACACCAATAAGTCTAAGTGGAAAGAAATATGTCCTTGTGGTAGTTGATGATTACTCAAGATACACGTGGACAATCTTCCTCAACGGCAAGAAGGAGACTCAAGGGAAACTCACCAACTGCATGAAGCTGATTCAAAACCAAGCAAGTCAGACTATTCAGAAGATCAGATCTGACAAAGGCACAGAATTCCTGAATGAAATCATCATTCACTACTGTGAAGAAAACGGAATTCTTCATCAGACATTTGCAGCAAGGACACCTCAACAGAATGGTGTAGCTGAAAGAAGGAACAGAACCCTGAAGGAAGCAGTAAGAACCATGCTAGCAGAAGCTTCCTTACCAAAGAGGTTCTGAGCTGAAGCTGTTAACACAGCCTGCTATACTCAAAATAGGAGTATGATTTATAAAAGGCACAACAAAACTCCCTATGAACTGTGGAATGGGAGAAAGCCTAATATATCATATTTCCATATTTTTGGGAGCAAGTGCTTTGTGTTGAACAACGGGAAGAATCATCTGAACACTTTTGATGAGAAAACAGATGAAGCCATCTTCCTAGGATATTCCATGGTGAGCAAGGCATTCAGAGTTTTCAACAAAAGAACCATGATCACTGAAGAGTCAATACATGTTATTTTTGATGAAAAACATGTGGTTGATAAACCATCAAAGCATGATCATGAGGTTCTGGATCTATCAGACAAGGATGAAGAAGTCAATGAAGGGGATAGAATGAAGCCTACGGAGTTCATTCCATTCAGAAGTCTGCCACTGAAGACTTCACGGAGAAATCCGGATTCAGACAGTGCTGAGCTTTCCGGAAATGTTGGTCAGCCTTCCAATATTCCGGATACTTCAAACGGCGACAATTCCGGAAATGGCGACCCAGTGCCAATCTATCCGGAAACACCAACAACCTCTGTTCTTCAACCAGAAGCTGAACTAGATCAACCAGTCAATCCCAATCAACACAATCTTTGTTGGTTAAGGGATCATCCTCCTCAACAAATCATTGGAGATATTCAATCTGGTGTTCGCACAAGGAGTGCCCAACAGAATCTAGAAGCTATGCTTGCTTGTTTCATCTCACAAGTGGAACCAAAGAATATTGAAGAAGCTCTAGCTGATTCTGATTGGATCAATGCAAAGCAAGAAGAACTCAACCAATTCTCCAGAAATGACGTCTGGAAACTTGTTCCCAGGCCTACTCATCAACATGTCATTGGGACAAAGTGGGTCTTCCGGAACAAGATGGATGAGAACGGCGTTGTTGTCAGAAACAAGGCCCGGTTAGTTGCAAAAGGATATTGTCAAGAAGAAGGTATAGATTTTGATGAAACCTTCGCTCCAGTTGCTAGACTTGAAGCTATAAGGCTGCTTCTAGCCTTTGCTGCTCATAAGGACTTCAGGGTCTATCAAATGGACGTCAAGAGCGCATTTCTCAACGGAAACCTCGAGGAAGAAGTTTATGTGGAACAACCTCCAGGATTTGAGTTACACACCAAGGGAGATCAGGTGTATAGACTCAAAAAGGCGCTATATGGACTCAAACAAGCACCAAGAGCTTGGTATGATACATTGTCTCAATTTCTTATAGACAATGGATTTTCCAAAGGAGTCATTGACAAGACATTGTTCAAACTACAAGATGGCGAAGATCTCCTACTAGTCCAAATTTATGTGGACGACATCATATTTGGCTCAACGAAGGAAGATCTCTGCACCAAGTTCTCAATCCTCATGCAAGGAAAATTTGAGATGAGCATGATGGGGGAACTCAACTACTTCCTTGGCCTTCAAATCAAACAGAGAAGTGAAGGAACTCTCATCAATCAAGCCAAGTATACAAGGGATCTTATCAAGAAATTCAAAGTTGATCACAAGACATCCGTTTCTGTCCCCATGAGTACATCCACCAAGCTTGATATGGATGTAGATGGAAAGGATGTAGATCAAACTCTCTACAGAGGAATTGTCGGATCTCTACTTTACCTTACTGCAAGCCGTCCGGATATCTCATATGCAGTAGGTGTTTGTGCCAGATTCCAGTCAAAGCCAAAGGAAAGTCATTTGATAGCAGCTAAAAGAATTCTTAGATACCTCAAAGGAACTCANGTAGTTGTTGCGCTCAAATTTTGTGGCTAAAGCAACAACTACTGGACTATGGAGTCAAGACAAAGGAAGTGACAATCTTTTGTGACAATCAAAGTGCTATAGCCATCTCTCAAAACCCAGTGCATCATTCTCGCACTAAGCACATTGATGTCAAGCATCACTTCATCAGAGATCATGTGGAAAAGAAAGATATCAAAATTGAGTATATCTCAACTGAAGAACAACTGGCGAATATCTTCACAAAACCACAATGTGAAGCCAAGTTTTCCGATTTGCATCACAAAATTGGTCTAATTCAATTAGACTGAGTGCGGTACACGTGGCGGACTACTGGCGATCACGGTGGGCACGTGGCCCTTGGGAATAGTCAAAAACCCAATCGCCACTAGCCGCAAAAATCGCCCAATTTAAAACCCAATCGCCACTATTCAGATCTCAACCGCCCACTCAAAATTGCTTGTCGTCTTCTTCAAGAACTCGCAAGAACCCTAGGTCTCTTTCTCTCAAATTTTCACCCAAATTTTTGAGAAAATGAAGGTTGTCAGAGCAAATGTTCATTTCAAGAAGTTAGAGGCCAAGTGCTCTTCATCGACATTCTTTCAAAGCTATATGGAGATGATAGGCGCTCAAGAACTCTCCGAATTTCTTCAAATGGAGATTCGCCTCAAATTCGAGGAAGAAGTTCTTGAATTCTACAGGAATGGAGAAGTTAAGTCTGCTAAATCAAAGAAAGACCCACAGAGGACGTTTCCAGTCATCAAATCAACTGTGGGAGGAATCAAAGTGAAGCTTTCGCAGAAGAAATTGGGAGAAAAGCTTCGCCTTCCCAATTCTGGAGTTGAAGTTGGAAAACTTCCAGTCAAAAATCTGGACTGGAAGGTCATTGGAATTTCTGGGCAAATTCCTTCTGGCCCAGCGAAGAAAGCAGATCTAAACAACGATTACAAATTGATTTTAGAATTAGTCATCGCCTGCCTCGAATGTGGAAGTGGAGGTCACGCCGATGACATCACCCAGGAGAGAGCCTTTATCATCAACGCTCTCATTACCAAAACCAAGGTAAACTGGGCTGCACACTTTTTCAATTCCATCTCAAAGCATGTGGGAAAGCCAAATCAGAAGTATCTCTGTAAAGGTCTCTATATTGGACATGTTTTGGAGTCCATGGGAGCTGCAGTTAAAGGAAGGAAGTATGAAACCAGATATTGGCTGTACTATCTGTCTTCCAAAGGAGAGAACAGAGCTAGTGCTAGTGCCACTGCAGAAGAAAGCTCTTCAGACAATGTGCCACTCATCCTGTTGGCAAAGACTGCCAAGAGAAAGCAAGTGGTGTCTCCCTCCATCAGCATTAAAGCACCACAAAATCTTGCCTTAGCATGTTTGGAAGAAGAAGAAGAAGTCTCTAACCATGGAGAACTTCAAAGGAAGAAGAAGAGGAAAATCAACTCTCCATCAACATCCGGAAATGTCAATCCGGATGAGTTGAAGGAGAAGGAGCCTGCTGAGGAAGCCTCTGTTCAGAACCGGAGTCCTCAACAACTTGAAGAAGAAACTCCTCAAGTCCCAAGCCTTCCAACCTCATCTTCTCAGCCTCAAACAGATGATGCTGAAAACAAATTCTGGCAGCTTTACTATAATTGGAGAGCTTGGAAAGTTGGAAACTCAGAAGAGCAACTGATGGATTGGGACCAACAGCTGAAGAATGAGAAGGTAATTAATAAGTGCCTTGGTATTCCAGTCAACCACAACTGTGAAGATATTTTGAATGATTTCTGGGTATGGCAAAGAGACTCGGAAGATCTGCATATGGAGTACCTGGTCTCCACACCAGTTTCAGACTATGAAGCAGATGATGAAGACACTGCAGTCTTCAAGCCAGTCTTCGCCAAAGCCACAGAAGATCAAGTCGTTTTCACTGTTGAAGCACAGAATTTTTTGGAAGCAGCAGCTGAAGGTTTCCAAACATTTCCGGAAACCTCACCTGCTTCTGAAGTGGTTCTGACTGAGGCTATTCAGGAGAAGGCAGCCTCTCCTCCACAAGAACAGAACAAGGAAGCTACTGAAGAAGGAGAATTTCAGCAGCTAATCCAATCTCAAGTTTTAGAGATCTCCAACCAGCCAGAACTTGAGATTCCGGATAAGTCAGCAGCAATTCCGGAATAGTCAGCTATTCCAGAAACAATAGCGCAAGCTGTTGAAGTACAAAGGCATTCTGAAGAAGCTAAAACTCAGATGGCAGAAGTGGAGGTCTCTCAAACTCCAGCAGCCGTCTTTGAAGAACAGAATGCACATGAAGAAAGAGACTCCCTCTCTAGGGACATATCAAATTTTGCCCTTGAAAAAGCTGAGGAAGAATCTGAAAGAACATTGAAGGTTATTGATGAAGAAGATGAACAAGAAGATGCTCAATCTCTTCCTATGCAACTCTTCCAAAGAACCCCATCTTCTCATCAGGTAACCAATTTCCATTTTCATAGCTCTACCACTCCTACATTTCCGGATGAGATACCGGAAATCTGGACAAAGAAGGTCCAAGGGCTGATTGAATCAGCCCTAGCATCTCAACATGCCTCCTTTATGCAAGAGATAGAGCAAATGGAAGCCAAATACAGACAACTGCTAGAGAAATCAGAAGAAAAACATAACGCTGATCTTAAAGAAATAAGCAAATCAGTAGACAAAACTCTAGAGATCATCTCTCTATTGAGTAAAACTATAAGCAATACGATGGAAATATATACCTGTGACAGTCAATTGCAATTCAAAGAATTCAACAAAGTCAAGGAACAAATAGCCAGTGTCACAATTAGTCTACAAAAGCAGATGTCCCTTCTCCAACTGGACATCAGATCATCCCTAGCAGTAGCTTCAGCAAACCAGGTAGTAGTCAAAGACTACTTGAAGGTGATCATTGACAATCAAAAGGAAGCATACAAGCTGTTCAGACTCATTGGTGCACATACTGGGAACCGCAAGATGGAAGTGATTCTTCAACAACACAATCCATCTCCAATACCCCAGCTACCCATTGCAGTCAACGAAGGAGAAGCATCCTATATCCCTTCTCATCTGAACATGACAAATCTCATCCTTGGAGCACAGCAAAGGAATCCGGAAAGCTCAGCACAGCATCTATCCAGCTCAGAACTGGATGGAACAGAATTTATAGGTGCAGTTGCTGACCACTTCTCAAATGATGCTCAAGCAGAAGAAAGGCGTGAGAATTTAAGGCGCATCAAAGAACTCTGTGGAAACATGCAGGGCATCAGTGAGGTTGCCGGATCTTCCAAGCGCAAGAGAAACTGAAGGTTTATTTCATCAAACCAGGGGGAAAGTATGTGAAATCACCAATTTTGTTTTGATGAAAACACCTTCTTGTTTAAACATTAATTGATTGGTTTAAACATTGTTCTCAATTATGCTTGATTATGTTTATCTCAAGTATGATTTGTCTTAATTATTTCTCTGAAAGCGCATACATTCAGGGGGAATGTAATTCAGGGGGAACTTTGGCAAACAATTGTTTTTGGCTATGAATTATTGATGAGCTCTAAGCAATGGAAGTCAGATATCTCAGTTTTGGTACTAAAATTGGAATTCTCCGATTCAGGTACTTTACAAAATCTGCCTTCTTAAACTAAGCTTTAATCCTTAATTCATTTTCAAATAGCTCTAAAAGTACTGGCCCTTAGGATTTTTTTTATGTAAAGGACTTTAGAAAAATAGTACCACTTTTCTTTAAAAATAAAATAAAAAAAAAAATTCATATTTGCTTTGGTACTACCTCGTCCTAAGTAGAAATTAGAACTATAGGGAATGAAAAATGATAGTTTTATTTTGGGCCATGAGAACCCAATAGGAATAATTTCCCTTTAGTACATAGCTTTCTTTTCTTTTTGGGCCACTCTTTTGGGCTTAGCCAAACTAAAACAGTTACGTTTTTCAAACCAAATGAAACTGATTTTCAAATAGGAACAGTTTCAATTCATTGGTAACGGGTAAAAGATTCCTTTTACTTTTCAACTTCTTGGAAGTTGAAACTCCTTTACTCTCACCGTTCCAACTACCCACTTAATGGAACCCGTGAACCTCCTCCTCCCCTATTTAAATCAAGATATCTCAATCCATTTCCATATTAAACAACTCTTTAAAATATGAAAGTCTTCAGTTCACTGTCTGAGAAAAACACCAAGAAAATATCCTCAATGGAGAAATTTCTCTTTCTCACCCTCATAGACGGCAATGGAGAAAAGCCTAGTGAGAAGGAAAGTAATTCAAAGTTTATGGTGCAATTCTCGGCAGTAGAGAAAGTTTATGGTGTAATTCTCGTATTTTTCAGGATTATACCATACACTTTCTCTGGAACAACACTCTCTCTATTTTTTCTTTTTATTTTTACCTTGATCTCTTTCCCCTCCCCTTTCCTTTCTTTACTTTTTCTAAATTTTTTATTTTGAGCAGCCCCTCCCAATTTTCTTACAAGGTTCTTTTGGGTGGTGCCTCTGCTCCCTTCTCTCATCGAGTTCTCAAAAAAAAAATTTTGGTGAACTCTTTTTCAAAATTTCCTTTAAAATTTTTTTTTCATCTTTAAAAACTTTATTTTATCTTTTTCACAATCAATTCTCTTTTCCAAAACCTTTTCCTTCTGTCTCTTTCCTCTCTTCCACCGCCGCCTCCTTTCCCTCCATTTCTCTTCATTTTTCGTTCTTGTTTTTTTTGAGAGATGTGTTGCTTCCTAGATCTTGGTTATCCACTTTGGATAATAAAGATCTATCAAACGCAACGCCAACCGCTCCGCCAAGTAGAATCTGCTGGAGCTGAAAACGGTCAATGGCGGAAGATATCACAAAATCTCAAGACAAGACTTGGTTTAGGAATTACTGTAATTTGAATTGTATTTGCTTAAGAGTTTTTGTTAACAAGCTGTATATTATGAGAAACTAAAAGAAAGTTATAAAATTAGTTCTCAGTACAGCGACCGGAACTCTTAAACACTTGTTTGTCATCATCAAAAAGGGGGAAATTGTTGGGAAAAATATTATAGATTTTGATGATGATGTATTTAGAATGTATTAGGGACTTTAGGTCTCCCCCAATATTCAATGTAATTTTTCTTTTTAGAAATATTGTCAAAACCGAGCTCTTGAGATTTCCAATAAAATTGTGATTATCCTTTAAGCGTTTTGATGCCTGAAGACTAAATCAAATTCAGTGATATGGAAATTGGATATCTTGATCGGAAACGTCAGAGACAAGTAAGGATTTCTCAATCAGATGAAAATCCTCTATTCCGGATAACTACATAAAAACCGGATGTCTCGCTACAGGCTAAGTCGGAAGACTAGCGCGGATTTCTTTCTCACCCGGAAGACTCAGAATGACCCCTCCGGATTTGTCAGCTAAGAATCGGAAGACTCA